ATTTTTGATTGCATTAGCCTATTATAATGAAACTGGTCTCAAAATATTCCTTGGGTCATGCCGACAACATAGATACCAATTATGCCATTGTGGGCCGAACTTCCTGTCTGCCATTTTGATTTATGTTGAAAACCTACTTTTTCGAACTCCTCCTCGACCGTTAGTCCGATTTTCACCAAAATCGAATCAGATCATCATCAGACAGTGCTGACAAAAAGTTAAGATTTCGTGTTGATAGACAAAACCGTTTTTGTATAGCGCCACAACAAGTTTGAGGCATAATGCCAGATTATGTCTGAGGCTGTATCTCTGCAAAGCTTTGACATATTGACACCAAACTTTCTGTTTGCCATTGTTACCTCACACAGAACACACCACATCAATTTGATAACAGTCAAATGGTCAAAAGTGATAAGCCATTAAATCATATTACAAGAAGTTGTGTTTAAGATTTTTCAGCCATTTTGCTTCAAATCATCCTAAAATTTCTTTAATTACTCATTGTTGCAGTTGGTCTGATGGTAAAATTTAAGGGGGTCTGAATACTTTCCGTACCCACTGTAGATGCGTGCACACACGAAGCGTAAGTTGAAAGAGCAAGATCCGATGAATGCAAACATTTTTTTAGCATTTTGATTTTACGATTCCTGGAAGAAATCACTTACCTGTGATCAAAGATAGTGAGAGCTGACGTTGGGAAGCCAAATTCGTGCAAAATTATTATTGATATAAAGTCAAAAACTCCAACTGCTTTGCAACCAGAAGCTTTAACTTAGCTTTGGCTCCCAGAAACTAAGGAAAGCGCTAGAGATGTTATAACAATTGGTAAATCTGATAAAAGACAGACAAATTCATCCAACTAAAATAAATTGTTTTATATATTTTTTTTTAAAGTTTCAAAAATACAAAGAAATTTGGCCCCAAGCATGCCAACTTAACAGCAGTGCTCAATGTACTGTACACATACAGTATTGCAGAACTTGCCCCGAGTATGTCACATTACCCCATGTCCCCATTTTTCAAAACGCTTATAAATCATACAGATTGAGTTTTTTTGAGAAAGTAAAAATGCACAAAGTTTCCTGTTAGGTGTAGTGTTGGTGTAGGGCAATAGCACATACAGTTTGTACAGTATAAAAACCATTACGCCTATGGAATGTCCCCACAATACACAAAAACAAACCTGTGTGTGTGTGTGTGTGTGAGAGTGAGAGAGAGAGAGTACATACACATTTCAGCTTATAAATGTTTTTTTTCTGTTGTGTTTGTTGGACATTTTGATGTCTTGATGACAGGTAAAGGGCTCTCATATAAAGCACTGTGGCTTCCCTACTCTAATGCAGATGCAGAGAGAGTTTTCTGCATGGTGGGTTTAAACAAAACCATAACTAGAAACAGTTTGACTCTGGATGGAACGCTATTATCTATCACGATGGTGCTTTATATGGGAGCCCTCTACCCCTGTCATCAGGCATCAAAATGTGCAACAAACACTTACAACAGAAAAAAAATAACATAAGCTGAAATGTGTACTCTCTCTCTCTCTCTCACACACACACACACACACAGTTTGACATACATCCGCAGGGCAAGTTCTGCAATCCTACTGTATGTGTACAGTATGTACAATGAGTACTGATGTTCAGTTGACTCGTTTGGGGCAAAATTTCTTTTTATTTTTGATACATTTGTATTTTTGAAATGCATAAATCTATTTATTTTATTTGGATGAATTTGTCTGTCTTTTATCAGATTTACAGTTGTATTTCTATTTGTGCTGGTCAATTATGAACAATAGGTGAAATTGAACTGCTAGCAAAAACTTGAGAGAATTGGGTGATGCAAATATTTGAGTGGCCCCTCCCCTTTGTGTGGACCCTCTCCGAACAGATGTAATCTCACTCCAAACTTTTGCTATAACTTGAGAGCCCTGCTTCTATTGAGTGGGAGCCACACTAACCGTGCTGACATCCAGGGGAAGAATGAAGACGATGAGAAAGCATAAATACCAAGCCAGCAGTGTGCCAAAGAGAACCATGCGCTGCTGCTTCTTGAAGTCGCCATAGCGATGCAGGAGGAAGAGAGCCAGGAAAAAGACAACCACAATCTCTATTCCCAGCGCTGCCCCGCTCATAGTGCACACCGCACTCCTCTCACTCTATTAGGGACTGAGAACAACTGCAAACAGAGAAAGACAAAGACCAAAACACAAATGACATGCAAAAAGAAACAGTTAAAAACCACATTAAATGAAAGTTGGGATGGGGGATTTTAAAAAAACCTCCTCCCTTATGTTTTAATAGACAATAGCCTGTAGTTTGTCAATTTCTGCATATTTTAAGATTTTTTGACAAAAAAAAGTGGAAAATACTACCAATAAATCCAAAACAACATCAAAATCTACACTGAAGACAGTACAAATCTACATAATCTATAAATAATTGTGTAAACTGTATTTTAGCATACCGTTTAAGGTTATGATATCGTATACATTATTTCAAATACTTTTTTATTTGACGTTAACGTGATTTTAATGGATAACAGATTTAGAGTTTTTTTTTTAATTAATTGATTCGACTGAACTGTTTGATAAATGGAGCGTTTTATATGGTTACAAAACAGATGTGCTCTCAACAAGGTAAAACTACTCCTTATTAAAATATGTAGGCTACTTAATGTGACTCAAACAATTCATGACAGCAGTTTCTGCATCTCAGAGACTCTTTTGTTTTTCCTCATTTGAGCGTAAGGACTAATTATGTACTAATTTCTTTATTCATTCACGCCTGAATAACCTTATGCAGACAATCAAGTTATTTTAATGGCGTGATGGGAAGTAGTGAAGGGATTATTTCCGCAACTCGTTCTTTTCAGAGAGAACAGGTTCTGAGCTTCATAATGCGTGACACTGGAATTCAATTGTTCAACGAGTCATTGACTCTAGAATCGACTCAAGACTGATTCAGTTCGATTCGTGAACAAATCGCTCAGAGCATTGTAAACTGTAGAGACCATTTGCACCATGCTCACAATGCTATAAGAAATCCAGCCCGACTGGTTTTGAATCGGGTTTTTAAACCAATTCATCAAAAAGATCTGACACATGAGAATGATTCGTGTACGAATCGGACATCGCTAGGATAAAGCATACACATACAAGCCTAATACATTATGTGCAGGGCGTTCCTATTTATACACAACGGTTGGACTACAGCGCTTGCTTTCATCGCAAACAAATATGTCAAACAAAAATCTCTAGCTGATCTTGCGCGCAGTGTCCGTGTTTTGCTCTGAATCATGGGGATCAAATCAATTCGCCTTACCTCAGATATGCTGCAGAGAAATATGAGACGCAATAAACTTATATCCTGATTCATTCCCAAAGTAAAGACAAATCTAGAGCATTGCGCGATGATAAAAAATGACCTGGAGGAAATCCACATTTCACTGATTTCCAGAAAACAAACGTCACGCCCCTGACGCGTCTTATGGGCGCGGCCTATTTTCTTCTGGTGTTACAGATATAGGTGCATATCGCAAACTACTGCGAACGAGTGCAAATAACCTGATATGCAATATTAAGTAGTTTTATCAGCAAAAAGGAAAATTACGACGGGCTAAAAACTCAAGTATCAAAGAAAAAGAAAAAAACACTAACGTTACTTCAGATGTTTAGTCTTTTTGGGTCAGAAGCTTTAATTATATAGTTGTGTGTGATAAATAACGCCTTTAGTGTCCTAGCTGTAAATTAGTTCTAAAAAAGTGAATTATTGTAAAATGATTCTTTAATTTTCATTAAAATGGCTTATAGAAATAGTACTGATGCTGCCTAGAAAAAAATGCATAGTATACATTAAAATTAGTAGCAAGCAGTGTTGGGCAGTAACTAGTTACTAGTAATTTAGTTACTGTAATAATATTAATTTTTGCAGTAACTAGTGTAACTAATTACTAATAAGATTTCAGTCATAATATTACAGTTACCATCCATAAAACAGCTTAGTTACTTATTAGTTACTTTTGATGCCTCAACCCCGCTGATTTAAAATCCAACAGTCAAATAATTCCTATATTTATTTTCATAATTTTCATGACTCTCACATGTATGTGATTGTCCCCAGTGCAGCAGGCAAGCTTGGAATACAGTCACTATTGAGTGTTTGTAATAACTTCTGACTGCGATCCAATGCGAATTTTGGTGAAATGATGAGGCAGAAATATGTTGTTAGTAACATTCTGGAAGAATTTTATGGGGAAGATACACAGTTACAACTTCTGTGGGGCGTGAAGAAAAAGTAATGTACCTAGTAGTGTAACTAATTACTGTTGCCAGAAAGTAATAAGTAAAGTAACAATATTACTTTTGAAAGGAGTAACTAGTAATGAGTAATATATTACATTCTTTGAGTAACTAGCCTAACACTGGTAACAAGTAAACGTATATGTTTCAGAAATTTGTACTTTGATTCTGCGAAGGCAAAGCCAGTCCTGTCAAAGTCCCTTTGAAGGATTTCTATAATCTTTGATCCTGTAGAGGGAGCCAAAAACAAGAGGCCGTTTAGCTTGAACAGAAGTGAATGGCAGAGAAGCCTTAAAGGGGTCCTATTATGCTTTTTCACTTTTTGAATTTTAGTCAGTGTGTAGTGTGTATGTTTGGGCATAAAAAAGATCTAGAAAGTTACAAATCTCAAAGTCCACTCCAAAGGGAGATATTTCGTTTTTTAAAAATCCCTTTTCAAGAAC